CCMWSKCCARSTTGGATGGGGYTTGGAGYAGCCTGGGATAGTGGAAGGGGCAGGGGTGGAACAGGATGGGCTTTAAGGTCCCTTCCAATGCAAATCACTACACGATCCTGCATTTAGACACTGATTTTCTGCTCCTGTGGTGCAGGTGCCTCCCATGTTGAGCTCATGTCTCCAGATCATTCCTCATTTATCCTCCAGCTTCACTGGCTTCCTGGTTAATTGAGCACCTTAAGGAAAACATCTGGAAAGGAAGATCATTTGCCCTAAAGTTTTTTAGCAATTGCTGAGCTCTTGCCCAGAACAGTGGTAGGTCTTTWAAATAACCAGGGGTCTCTTCCCCTCCAAATGTGATGTTGGGATGGACCTGCCCTGGCCCTGTGGTACCCACAGGAAGCAGGGGCCTGTGCAAAATTTTGCAAAATTTTGCAAAATCTTGGGATTTAGTGAGGAATCCAAGGTTTATGATGTAGACATAGGGAAGGATTCTGGGGGTGTGATGTGAATAAAGCTGGGCCAATGATTGAAGCAAATTCTTTCTGATGCAACTTCCTGTTGTAGTGGGGTTTACCAAACTATTCTTTGTGCTCTTCTACCCATTAACACGTAATAAAAATCAGAGAAATGCTTTATTTAWTTTTTTTWAAAAWTTATTTTTACWGCTAAATGATAAMAYGAGCAGTCTTGTGTTGCAAGAAACRTCGTTTAACATGTGTATTTACATACTTGTGTCCTGTCTGCTMCACACAAATCCTGAAAGCAGCTGGGGATTTACTTAGCCACTGCCATGCCCAAATTATCAACAATTTAAAGGATGTTCCCTTCCAAACAAAACAAAAAAAAMCCCAAATGTGCGCGCACACACTCAAATACGGCTGGGCAGGGTTAATAAATGCTGGGTGTGTTTCTCCTTGTTCGAGAGTGGAAGTTTTCTGGGTTTGTATTTAGACTTTCTTAGCAAAGAGATATTAAATAAGAAGAAAGAATTCTTTTGGAATTTAAGGCGATCTAAATACAGCCTGTACTTTGCTAACTTGAAGGAAGCAAAGCTCCTTGGGAAGCTCCTCGGAGGTGGCACACGCCCAGCTGTCCCCACCTGATTTAATACTGGACATTAAATTATCTCGCTAAAATAAAATCTGACGTGTGTCACCTCTCCAGCCCCGCTGCTGACACTCCATAACATCCCGATCTCCATAACATCCCGATCTCCCTCTGGAATTTCAGCTGCGGAGGGGCCATGTGTCCGAGGCGACTGTTGATGAAACAGCTCCAAATTCCAGGGGAGCTGCGGCGACTCCCGCGGGCCGAGAGCGGCTCGGGAGGAGCGGGACAGCCCCGGCAGAGCCCGGGAGGAGCGGGAGGAGCGGGACAGCCCCGGCAGAGCTCGGGAGGAGCGGGACAGCCCCGGCAGAGCTCGGGAGGAGCGGGACAGCCCCGGCAGAGCTCGGGAGGAGCGGGACAGCCCCGGGAGGAGCGGGAGGAGCCGGAGGAACGGGAGGAGCGGGACAGCCCCGGCAGAGCTCGGGAGGAGCGGGAGGAGCGGGACAGCCCCGGCAGAGGCTCGGGAGCAGCGGGAGGAGCGGGACAGCCCCGGCAGAGCTCGGGAGGAGCGGGACAGCCCCGGGAGGAGCGGGAGGAGCCGGAGGCCGGCACAGCCCCGGCCGTGACCTGGAAGCGAAGGGCCCTCAGCGGATCAACTTCCCGGGTTCGCGGAAGGACGCTGCGGGGCCGGGATGCAGCTGGCGAGCAGCAGGTCAGGGCACTGTCTGGGGCTTGGGGTGGGTTTGGGTGGGTTTGCGGCGGATTTGGGTGGGTTTCGTGTGTTTTGGGTGGATTTGGAAGCGAGGCGAGGGCGGGGGTGCAGGCGGGGGACGCCCTGGCCTTGCTGGGATCCCCCATTTGGGGTGTCCCCGGGGGAGGTGGCGGCTCCCAAAAGGGCCACAAAGCGACATCCCCGCCCTTCCCGATGTCCTGAGGGGGAACCGTCGGGATTCTGGGCGGAGCTGCCGTGTCTGGGTTTCCTGGCGTTGTCCTGGAGCCTCCACGGGGTTTAAAACACAACTGCCATATTAGAAACTTTTAATTTCAATATTAATTGTTTTGTTCGAGTTTCTCAAGCCCTGATTATTTATATATTTGGCWCACAAAGAGCACAGCACTGCACTGGTTCCTGCTCTTGAACCACTGTGGTGCTCATTTGGTGAGAAGYTCAGTGGAGTTGAACCTGGCCCTTCAGCGTAAGATCTGGGAGATTATTTTGTATTTTATCTGGGAGAGTATTTTGTATTTTATACACATTTGTCCTCAACAGCCTCTTTCTTCTTGGTAAGTGAGGCAATGGGAAGAACGGGGCAGCTAATGCAAGTGTAAAATGGGAAGAATCCCAAGAAGACACTAAATAGCCTGGTAAAAAATGCAGCAGTGGGTAAGAAAAGAGAGCAAAATGGGGCAGACTCAGGAAATCTGGCACATTGCTGAAATGTTGATTTATTTTGGCTTTCCCCCCTCCTGCACATCTGCCCCAGGCATGTGGGAGAGCCATGGGGCGTTTGGGTCTATGAGCTGAGAAACAAGGATGTGCAGAGAGCAGGGACTGCCACCCTGCAGGTGGGTGCTGTTTCTATTATCCATAGGGCTAAAAATGTTTTGTCCGTGTTTGGGTTTTGTTACCAAAACAAAAGCCCAAAGTTCAAATCAAAGGTTAAGTGGTTGGGATTTAAGATCAGAGGGGATTTTATAAAAGTCAAGTTTACAGCAGGAGGAACAAAACTTGAGTGGRGAATGTGCCAGCAATTAGTGACAGGGAGACAAAGGGTTTCAATTCAGGTGAAGACTCAGTATTTTGTGTAGATGTATCACCTCTGTTGCTAAAGAGTGTTATGGAAACAATCTTTATCCCTTCCTTTTGGCACCGCTGGAATATGTGCTTTTGTTCTCTCAGACTTTCTCAGAAAATAAAAGCATTATTGAGGTTGGGAGGTGTGGGAAGCCCTTTCCTGCCTCTTCTCTGGGAATTGTGATCCAGTTGCTGCTGGGTGCCCCATTCCTGGCTCTGCACTGGCAGGGTGGTTTACAGGATGGATGCTGGCTCCAGCCCCTGGGAAGGTGGATTCCAAGGGACAGAGCTGGCTCTGATCCCTGTCYCTGAGGTGTCTCTCAGGCACGGAGGGGCAGGATTAGCCCCTGGCATTGTGACCCTGTGGRGCAGAACCCAGAGAAACCAAGCAGAGCCCTGCCCTGCACACTCTGAGCTGGGCTGTCACCAGGGKTTGGGTGACCTCTCACCACTCACACTCCGACTCCTTGTCCTGCTCTGAGTCACTYCTGCTGTCTCCATGACAACTCCATTTCATTCCAGTTTCCAGTGGTTGGGTTTGTTTGGGTTTTTTTTTCCAAAATTGCTCTATTGCAAAATATCCTGATGGTTGAAAAGCTGTTTTGTTTAGCTCTGATTCGGGTTTGTTTGCTGTTCAGAAATAACTGGAGCTCAGACATCTCTGTGCTGGCAACAGGAGCTCCTTGAGGAGTGAGAACGAGGTTATACCCTGGGCACCGCTCTAGAATTTCTCTCTGGTTTGAAGCACAGGTTCTACCTTGATTSCAAATATTGGCAAGCCCTGTTGCASCTGTATCCATTYTGTATTTTAGGCATAAAATTAAATGCTTAGATCCTTTGTTTGAAACACTTTAATTTATGAAGAAGAACAAAGATGCCCTTTGGGTAGCAAAGCCTTGTCACGGTAGTTTTTCTCCAGGAACTTGTTTCCTGTCTCTAGTCTCCACCATCCAGTTTTCTCTCCTGTTGTCACTTTTGCTGCTCTCCAGGCTGTAGCTGATGCCCAGGCCCCCGTGGAATGATGCCGTCGCGGACCAATCTCTCTGCTGGGATTCCCAGTAGCAAAGTCAAATATTCCAAGCTCTCCAGCACCGATGATGGATATATTGACCTGCAGGTAAAAAGTGGGGAAGGAAACTGTAAAAGCATGAGGATGGGCAGCCACAGTTTGGCACTGCACAAGAAGCTGCATCTTGTGCATCTCTGGTGGAGCAGCTGCAGCTCTGAGAGGGACAAAACCAGGTGGGAGCCAAACCCTCAGCCCTTCCCCTCTGGAAAGCTCACAGTGCCTTCCTGGGAACAGRACTGGTTGTTTAACATGCATTTCTATGGAGGAAGGTGACAATGGCAGCAGATGTGAAGTGATGGGAGTAAGGGCTGGYTCAGCAGGGTCTCCATGGGCAGAATTCCTCATGGAAGGGCCATTACAGAGYCTGGCAGCAGAGCTGCTGCAGCAGTTTGTCCYARTTCAAGKSTRCCAGCTGTGGGGTCACATSTGTGCTGTGGTGGGAGGGGAACTGTGCTGAGTTCAGCTGTTTGATATTTGGGGTTTTTCCATCCAGTTCAAGAAGAGCCCACCAAAAATCCCCTACAAGGCCATCGCCCTAGCTGTGGTGCTCTTCATGATTGGGACCTTCCTCATCATCATCGGAGCCCTGCTTCTGGCAGGTTACATCAGCAAAGGTGTAAGTGTTKAATGACACCTCTGGTACCACTTCTGCACTGTCCTCAAAGCTGCCCTGAGCCCTTATCAACCATCAGGTGACAGGAAACAGCCTCAAGTTGCAACAGGGGAGGTTTAAATTTGATATTAGGRAAGATTTGTCATGGAAAGGGTGGGAAAGGCCTGGCCCATGCTGCCCAGGGCAGTGGTAGAGTCCCCATCCTTGGGAGTGTTCCAAACATGAGTAGATGTGGCTGGGGTGAGTGGTGGCTATGGGGGTGGAGGTGGTTGATGGTTGGACTTGATGGCCTTAAAGGTCTTTTCCAGCCTCAGCAATTCCATGGTYTTGTCCTCATGGTCAGTGTAGAAATGCAGAGCCAAAGGGAGTGAGCAGGGAATTCATTCCCACCATGGCCTGGCTGTGCTGGCAGCCCCATTTCCCTGGCAGCAGAGCCCTGTGGATCCTGCAGTCAGTCTGGCTGGAGCAGGCTCAGAGCTGGTCTGGGGATCTCCAGGGAGGGCTGGGTTTCCCTGCTGTCYCTGGACAGTTCCCTGTCCCTGGGGAGGTCACATCACTGTCCTGGAGACACCTCAGAGCAGGGTCAGCACTCCTCCAGTGCAGATCAGGCAGTGACAGAGCAGGAGCTGCCAGATCCTGTGTGGGACACTGCAGTGCTTTCCCATCTCTCTGTGGTTGTTATCCATGGAAAGGGAATCTGCTGCCTGCAGTTCTGGGTGCTTGTCCCCCTGCTCCCTGTGCTGGATGGACTCACTGTACAGTTGGCACCTCTGCTTTATCTCTGTGGGACCAGCAGCCTCTGGGCTTTATCAGCAGCACTCCAGGCACAGATCATTGGGCTCACACTCCACCACACTTGCAGCTCCCACTGCAGATCCTGGGGAGGTCTCTGGCAAAGGACAAAGTCCCTTGAGGGGTTCTTGCAGCAAGGAGGAGATGCCAGGACAGGATAAAAGGCTCAGCCTGAAGACAGCAGAGATATTTGTAATTTAAGATGGATTTTTATTTCTCAGCTTGCTGAGCCTTGAGAATGAATCACAGAATCATGGGATGGTTTGGGTTC